CAATGTTGCATCTATACTTCTCGCTGGAATCATAGTCCTTCGATTATCTGCCGCATGTGAAGATTACACACGTGAGAATCAGGCTGGTTTTATTGTATAGAACATATCTTCACTCTTCTTCAAATTCTACAACATAGGCACTTCTTTTGTAGACCCACCAACTCTGTTTTTCTCTATCTGAAAACGGTCTTCGATTCGGTCTGTTGTTCTAAACTATAGCGCTACCTTTCCCTGAAGGGTGTGCCCGAGAAGTTTATTTCAGTATTACGATCGCCTTACACAAATAGCTGAAGTCGAGTCCGGGTGTACAACACTTTTTCGCCCGAGTTCACCACGGAAAGTGGTGTTTGTCAGGATTGCCCTCTCTCTCCGTTTCTATTTGACTTTGTCATGGATTTAATCCTCGAAACAGCCCTATCCTCGTGCGAGGAAAGTGGTATCGATTCATTCCCAAGTGGCAGACTGGGTGTCGTAAACAGTGGCGTTCTTGCATCTTCTCAATTTCTTTGCTAACTTAGACCACTGAACTCCATTTTCTGTTCGACTCTACCTTCAACTTTCCTGTTTTCTCTTATTATTCATCCAAATGGGCAGCCAAAGGACAGCAACCGAAACCGGCGCACGAAAGTGCATGGTTACTGTTTGTTCAAACTGAGCTGAGCTGAACTGTCTTTCCCTGAAGGACGTGCCCAAGAAGTTTATTTCAATCTTACGATCCCTTCATAATAATAGCCTACGAAAGCCTCAGTATAGTCGGGAGTGGGTGTCTGACTGGTCACCCGTTCCACTGCATCTCTCAAAATGCTCCTATACTATGAAGTATATATATATATATATTTCACACTTGTCTGAGGACAGACTGTGCCAGGAAAATCATGGTATAAAAAGAAAACACGTTCCATGATTGGCTTGTGGGCTGAATACTACAAGGTTGGCCAGACCAAGGCAGGTGAATTTTCTTGAAAAATTCACAACCGGAACCATCGGTTAACCAAAGCCTGACCCGCGAAGCAGCGGGGTGGTGTATAAAAATCACAGTCCATTGGGGCCGGTGTCCAGTTCATC